TTAAAAACTAGCTAGGCATTATTTATCTCTCGCATTGTCTAACCCTTCCACTCTGGTTTCCCCATTTAAAGTGCCATTTGATCCAGTTATACCGCTCCTTGGCATATACCCAAAGAACTCATCCTATTGCAGAGGCACTTGTGTACATGTTTGTTGCTGCTCTTTTCACAATAGCTAAGAGATGGAAGCAACCTAAGCGTCCCTCAATTGACAAGTGGATAATGAAAATGTGGTTCATTTATATGATGGAGTTTTACTCAGCAGTAAAGAAAGATGAAATCGTGAAATTTGCAGGTAAATTGATGGAGCTAAAAATTGTTATACTAAGTGAAGTAACAGAATCGGCGGGGGATGCCATATGTTCTCCCTCATATGTGGATCCTAGCACCAAATCCTGATAAGTGAGTGTGTATCCAGATGTAACTATAAGAACTAGGATAATGAAAAGGTACCAGGGATGTAAAGGAAAAGAAAGAATCTGAAAGAGAAGAACAGTAGGAAACAGGTGTTAGTAAGGGAGATATGGATAAAAATGGGGTCATTTTCAGGGGAGGAGGGAGGGTTATACAAGGAACCTTGGGATAAAGGGAAAGAAGGAGCTCAAAACTCAAAGATGCTTTTGAAGAAAAGGCAGCACCTGCTCATTGCTCCAAAAGAAAGGCAGCGAAACCAATTCCCACAGGCTTAGAGAAGCTTCCTCTCCCTGGGGGCTTTGTTCATAATGTACATGGCATTTGATTATTTCTTGGTAAGATATGGGGGGTTTGTTTTTGGTGTTTTGGTCTACAAATTACATGATGCACTGGATTTAAGTTCCCTAATCATAAGGCCAGAGAGGTCTGGTCCTTAGGCTCTACCTCTTGGACCCTGTATTCAGACAGCAACCACCCTGCTGTCCAGTTTTCACTGTCAAAGTCATAGATCTGCAGGGCCTGAGAATCCTCTCCTCAAATGGGGTGCTAGGAAGACCTGGCCTGCTGCCCCAGCCTGGTCCCACTCTAGTAGGTGGGTTTTCATCCTAGGAACTCCTGTCTGCTCCATGTGGCATGACAATGTTCTGAACCCCGACTGCCCTTTCTCCCTATATGCTGGGCAGGAACACAGCCCTCAATGACTTCCTGCAAAGGTGAGCATGACTGCTCAGCCCAGAAGTGGGGTCCTGGTTCTCACCTGTGCAAAATGGAGGTTAGAAGAGGCGTGGGACTGGGTAGAGCTCAGACATTGCGCATGAACTGAGCATACACAGGGCTCTGGGTTCTGTCCGCAGCACTGAAGGCAGAAAGGGATAACACATTTCTTTCTGATTTGTAAAAATATTTATTGGAGAAAATAAATACATAGGGCAGAAAGATTACAAATCACCCTTAATCCCACCACCTAGAAAGTGTGTTTTACAATATCTTCAGAATGAAATTCTACACAAGGATACAAGTACCACACGTTGACATGGGGCTGATAGGTGTATACTGTATTTTAATCCACCTTTATCCTTTAAAATATGTCATGTCCTTTATATGATTAAATGATCAGGAACTAGCCCCTAGTATCAATAGATGGGACTACATGAAATTAAAAAGTGTCTGCACAGCGAAGGAAGCTATTGCAGAGCACACAGAGAGCCCACAAGATGGGAGGAAATCTTCACTTCAGAAAAGGGGCTAATACCCAGAGTTTATAAATAACTGCAGAAATTAAATACCAAGGAATCAAAACTGCCAATCAATAGATGGGCTAATGAATTGAAAAGACAGTTTTCAAAAAAGAAATACACAAATGGCCAATAACTATTTTAAAATGTGTTCAAAATACTTAGCCATCAGAGAAATGAGATACCACTTCACCCCACTCAAAATGGCAGACATCAAGAAATCCTGCAACAAATGTTGGAGAAGATATGGAGAAAGAGGAACTTTTATTCACTGCTGGCGAGAGTGTAAATTAGTACAGCCATCATGGACATCAGTTTGGAGGTTCCAAAAAAATAAAAAATCAAGAACAGAACTACCATATAATCCAACTGTTTCACTCCTGGGTGTTTACTCAGAAAACTCCATACCCATGTGCATACCCATGTTTATTGCCACTGTATTCACTACAGCAAGGAAACAGAACCAACC